TGTCACAGGTAAACATTCAGTCCCTCAGTTCAAGAGCTCACCATACCACGGGGCTAGTGGCCACACTTCAGTTTCTGATCCGGTGAAGTTCTGATGGGCAGGGTCTCACCTACTTTGTGTCTTGAGAGATATATTTAAATCCTTGTTGGGGCATTCTGGCTCTCGGATCTTCTCTTGCACCCTTTACTTAGACGCCCCCCCCCCCCAGTATGTTAATTTTCAAGGTGAATAGTTCACTGCCAGGGCCAAGAGCAGAGCACAATCTGGAGGGGGGTGGGGGGGGGAAGACATGTGAGATTTGCAATGGAGGCTGAGACAGCAGCAAATCCAGCCATTTCTGAGAACTTGTCTGGATTGGAGTCACTCCCAGAACTCTGATTTAGCATCGACTAAGCCTAGAGCTAGGCTGAAAGGAACACAAATCTGTTTGTATACACAAATAAATCCCCTTGTGCGGCTTGCCGCTCTCAGCCTGCCAGCGTCATCTGGCTGCTCCAGAAACTAGAATCCAGTGGCCTGTTAGTTCCCCCGCGTGCAGGCAGCGGGCTACTCTGCTTGTGGAAAAGTTCTGCACCGGCAGCTAGCCCAATTCCTGCAGGAAAGCTGCAGAGGCAAGGGTTTTCCTGTGAGGAGGCTGTGTCACCCAGATCCCGCCTCCGAGATGATCACAGCTGTGTGCTCATCTCTCCAGCCTGAGCGTCGGTCCTCTAGTTGGAACACTCACTGCTATTCCACACATCTAAAGCAATGTCGGTGTAGCGGGCCATCTCAGGAAGAGTCGACCTAGAAGGACCGTTAAAATCCCTACCCATCCTTTACACAGGACAGGAGAGCCTGAAAATGAAGGTGCTGGTTTCAGTATAGAAATAGTCTTCCCCATGGAAGAACATACCTGACTATCTGGTAACAAATGATCATCCCTGAAAACGTACATACCAGCACAGACAAGTAATATACAGACTGAGCAGGTTATGTTAAGGAATATATATGTATATACATATGTGCATACAATAACAATGAATAAAGAGACCTTGAGTTTGAAAGTGAGTAGGGAGCGGTTATATGGGAGGTTTGGAAGGAAAAAAGGGAAGAAATGTAATTATTATAATTGCGACAGTAAGAAAGGATGTAGCTTTTTATTGCTTGGAAAATAACTTTTGTTTGGAAAATGCCATGATGAAACCTTATACCATGTGTATCCCAAATACTGAACTCAGATCATCAGGCTTTGCCAAAACCACCTTTACTCATTTTGCCAGACAGTTTTATGCAGACTCAAGACAAGCTAAAGTCATCTGAGAGGACAGAACCTTGGTTAAGAAAATCGCTCTATAATCAGGCTGTTCGAGCATTTTCTTAATTAGTGACTGACAGGGGAGGGCCCATCCCACTGTGGGTGGGGCCATCCCTGGGCTGGTGGTCCTGGGTTCTATAAGAAAGCAGGCTGAGCAAGCCATGGTGAGCAAGCCAGGAAGCAGATGCCTTCCAAGGTTCCTGCCCCGCATGAGTTCTTGTCCTGACTCCCTTCGACGATGAACAATGATACAGAAGCATAAGCTGAATAATTTTCTTTTCTTCTGGAATTGCTTTTGGTCATGGGGTTTCATCGCAGCAACAGCGACCCTGACTAAGACAGTCTCTGAGCCTTCTCGCAGGCCCAATGTGTGAAAATCCTTAGCCCTAGATTTGATTGTTATTAGTAATGAATGCTGAAGAACTGCTAACTAGGTGCCAGGAAGTGTTCTAATTACCTTACCTGTACACAAAGTATTATTGTGTTTATTGTACAACAACAACAACAACAAAAAAAAAAACAAGGCACTAGGAGAGCGGTCAGCCACCCAGGCCAAGGAGATGAGATTTGAACCAAGGCAGCATGGCTCTTAGGCCCACACTCTTAAAACTAAACCAGGTAACCTAGGTGATGAAGATTCTAGATCAAAGGGGATTTGGGGGTTGAAGTAGGGTCTTTTGACTTACTGCCTTGGTTTTCTTATATTAAAAGCCGGAAGTGTGGAGAGTAAGAAAATTGGAATTATAACATTAGCGTTGTAAAGCCTGGTATGGAACGTCTAAAGCAAATGGAAGATGTCTGAAGAACTGAGAATAAATTATAAAGCACAAACACTGGCAACATTCTTAAACTTTTTAAAAGGAGTGGGCAGCTTGCTCTGTGTATTGGGTGAACACCAATTTCATTCTATGTGAAGACTGCTGTCTTTAGAGTGGCTTTTTAGAGTGCGCACAAAAGATGACAGGTTTTACTGTGTTCCCATAATGTGAGATATTCTCTCACTCTGTGTCTCTGTCTCTCTGTGTATGTGTGTGCATGTATGTGTGTGTATGCTCGCATGTGCGCACCTGTGAGTGTGTATATATAGGTAGAGGAGCAAACATGGGCCAAAGGCTTTTTTTGCTTGTAGAAGTAATTCTTCCATATACATACATATATATATATATATATATATATATATATATATGTATGTATATTTTACCTCTTGTTTGTCAGCTTCCACCCTGTCTCCTAGAACCTCCGAAAAAATGTTCTCTTTTCCTCAGCACCAGGCCTGGATTCTGCAGTTCTTACCAAGAGCTTCTCCTTAAGCAATGGTTCTCAACCTGACCTTTTCACAGGGGTCACATATCTGATATTTACGTTATGATTCATAACAATGCGAAAATTGCAGTTAGGAAGTGGCAGTGAAATAATCCTATGGTTGGGAGTCGCCACAACAGGAGGAACCATATCAAAGGGTCCCAGCATTAGGAAGGTTGGGAACCACTGTCTTAAAGCCTCAGGTCAGATCTGTCTTATCTGCACTCCAGCTCCCTCCTGGAACTGTTTCTAGCCCAGTTTCACGAAAGTCTCACTCTTCATTTCTGTGGTCTCCTCAGCCACACTCCCACCTGGCTAGCCTGACCTACCCACTCCAGCCTTGGCATTCTGCTCCCTGACTCAGATCTCTCTGTGAGTGTTATTCTCTCTGCCTTGGTTTTTCCTTCTTCTCTGTGCCTTTTCATGACTTTTCACATCGGCTTGAATGTTACCTCCTCAAGGATCCCTCAGGAGAGGCTGCTGGACCTCACAGCCTGAATCACTTTCTTCACAGAACTCGGTGTCCCTTGGGAAGCTTGTTAGCCAGTTTAGTCTCTCCTGCCTTTGCACCAGCAGAGAGGCTCTGGAGCAGTGTTCTCACCCTCCCTGTTGCTGCGACCCTTTAATGCAGTTCCTCATCTTGCGGTGACCCCAGCCATAACATTATTTTATTGCTACTTTGTAACTGTCATCTTGCTGTTTTTAAGAACAGTGATGTAAATATCCGACACGCAGGATATCTGAGCCTCCTTTTTTTATTTGCTTTTCATTTGTGAAATGAGTTTGACCTTTCATCTCTGGAGCCTAGCAAACCTCTCAGAATGAATGACACAGTGATGGGTCACAGCCATGTGAGATTATGTCTCAGTTTTCCTGTGGGTGCCCAACAAAATGTCACCCAGAGTATTCCACCGTGTCCCCCGGAATGACTAGTGAATACCACGAAGACATCCCTTCCATTTTTACTCTGTGCTGGACTTTTCTATTTCTAAGCTGTTTGGTCAGTTACTACCTGGTAGTTATGCAGTACTGTGAGTTTAGATAGCCTCTGAGTGAGAGGCTTGAGGACTGTTCTCATGGCTCGATAAACTAATATTGAGGTAGGTCGTGGAGCAAAACATCCTAAGAACAGGGCTATGGGGTTCAGGCAGAAAACAGATCATGTCTGTGCTGGGTAGTTTTATGCCAACATGACACAAGCTAAAGTCACCTGAGAGAAGGGAACCGAAATTAAGAAAATGCATCCAGGCAATTAATTCTCTTAATTATGACTGATGGGATAGGGACCAGCCCATTACGGGTGCTGCCATCCCTGGGCTTGGTAGTCCTGGGTCCTGTAAGAAAGCAGGCTGAACAAGTCATGAGGAACAAGCCAATAAACAGCTCTCTTCCGTGGCTCTGCACCAGCTCCTGCCTCCAGGTTCCTGCCCCGTTTGGATTCCTGTCCTGACTTCCTTCAACAACGGACTATGACGTAGAAGTGCAAACGGAATAAATCCATTCCTCCCTACTTGATCTAGTCATGGTGTTTCACTATGAGACTGATCATCGTAATTAGGACAATGCACCAGAGGGCTCTGGTGGAAGTTGAGGAAACAGATAACATGTCTAGAGTCCCTTTGATACAGGAGTATGCCTTCAGTGGGTGCCTTGTTGGGCTTGTGGGAGGAGACCAGGCTTAGTTAGCAGCTCCCACTTCTCCCACCTTCTCTCCCTACATATTAGACAAGTAGAGTTGAAACTGAGCACGTAGAAGGGAAAGTACAAGGCCTGACAGTGGCCTCCCCGTCCGAAGGCGAAGGCTGAGTCCAAGGGAGGCTCTTCTGAATGCTCACTTACATGATCCTCACCTGTGATGAGGCCAAGCGTGGTTCACTCCATTTCAACAGGCTGGATTCTCAAACGTAATTCTCTTTTCTTTTCAGTTCAGTAAATATCTACTGAGCCGCCATCTAGACACAGGGAGGGACTGAGGTGAGGCAGGATTGATAAGGCTTCACTATAACCTTGGAAAAGGAGGATTTCTCCTGATTTAATGGAGAAAACTGCAAGGCAGTCACCACTCAGAGTTATGTCAGAAACCATAATAGCAGGAGGGGCCAAAGGCTGCGAACAAACAGAGAAGAGGCAGCCTGGATGGAGAGGTCAGGCAGATCCACAGCAAAGCCCCTTCTGAGAAGTGAGGGGAAAGGCACACGACAAGGGGAAGATTGCACATTATCGCGTGAAACCTATGCATCAGATGAAATGTGTGTGTGTGTGTGTGTGTGTGTGTGTGTGTGTGTGTGTGTGTGT